GCCAGTGTGCACCCGTTGGTGTCGTTGGAAATTACCAATTTGTGTGAATGATTTAGAGCACACTGTGCATTTGTACGGTCGATCGCCAGTGTGCACACGTTGGTGTGTTTTGAGATGAGATGGAGATGGAAAACTTTTGTTGCACTGCTGACACCTGTGGTTTTTAGCTGTTCTTTGACGACGGTTTGTCTGTTGTTCACCTGGTGAACTGCTCAAGCTTCCATTGACCACTGCTTCAGATTGCTGAGGTTCTGCAGAATGAAAAGTGTTACACAAAAGAATAAATAAACACACACCCACTGCCCACTCACCACTGACTGCTTCATAATCCTCTTCATCAATTTCAGTGGCATCAGAGTCATTCTCTGAATCTTCATTCCCATTCAATGCCTCATTCACTTCATTGACATTTTCAGCAGTAACAGCAAAATTTTTTTCCATAATAAAATGAAACTCATCGTCGTACATATCAATTGACGTTTCATCCTGTTCTTCAGTTTTGATTTCTGATTCTGTTGATTTAAAAAAAGATTTATTAGTTAAGTTAATAGTATCAAATACCCTTCACTTACCATTGCCTGCTGATTGATGGCCATTTTCCAAAACATCGTAATCCGTTTCTGAATCTTCTTCTTCTTCTTTCACCACAATTCCCTCATTCTCTTCTTCATCATTATTTGCACAATCAAACTCGTCGTACATGTCATCGTCAGATTCAAACAGCTGCTCAGTGCCGGACATTTTCGTAGGTGGCTAANTAAAATGAAACTCATCGTCGTACATATCAATTGACGTTTCATCCTGTTCTTCAGTTTTGATTTCTGATTCTGTTGATTTAAAAAAAGATTTATTAGTTAAGTTAATAGTATCAAATACCCTTCACTTACCATTGCCTGCTGATTGATGGCCATTTTCCAAAACATCGTAATCCGTTTCTGAATCTTCTTCTTCTTCTTTCACCACAATTCCCTCATTCTCTTCTTCATCATTATTTGCACAATCAAACTCGTCGTACATGTCATCGTCAGATTCAAACAGCTGCTCAGTGCCGGACATTTTCGTAGGTGGCTAAACAAGCAAAAAATCAATCGAACGAAATAAAAGTTAGCAGTTCAGCAGCTGAAGACAAAGTGGACAGTGTAAAGGGCTCAAATCAAAACAAATACCACTGAGCATGACACGTGCTGGTAGCTCACTCGTCCCTAGGGCCCTAAGGAATCAGCCGAACCGGTCTATCCTTGCCCTCGATTGTTTTGGCGATTGTCCCAGTATCGATGGTTTTTTGAAAAACTAAATGATGGCATATTGATGCCAATGCTTGATTTGCATTCGCTTGGTTACCGTTCCCAGAGATCTGGGCGTTATTTAGAAGCGCAGAGGAAAAAATGACGCTTAGCGTCAATTGATTTGGGGCTGTCTTAACTTTCTTTTTGAGAATGCCCTTTGTTTTACTCACATTCAAAACTGTATTTTTAATACTTTTAAAAAGATTGAAAAACAAAGTGTAAGATCATCAAAATAGCGATATTTTGCAAATATTTTAGCTAGACTAGCGCTAGGTCGCCACTAGTGAGAACGTGTACTTGCGAATATGAACTTTTAGAAGTGGAGTTTTGCTTGTAGCAGCTTTTTGTTTTTATGTTCTTGTCGCTGCACTGAAGTCCGAGCAGGTGCAAATTCAACTTAAAGCTAAAGGGTGGCAAGGTACTGCAACTTAGTATCGGAAGTAGGGGGAGTGCCACCGCCCGGACAGGCGATGTAAGCCTTGCCGTCGACGTTCGCAAAGCAGATGACCACCTCGATGATCATCGGCCGAAGTCTTAGGCGGATGCTCTCCTCCGGAATCAAGTGGTACTTCCAAGCATCTTTGCCGGTGGAGACCGCCTCCAGGAACTTCCCCACAGTGTAGAACTTACTGTCTGAGGGCGTAATCTCGGAGTCCTTCAGCCGCCCGTCCAGGTTCACCTCCCGGTAGAGGCGGTCAACGAGGGCAAAGTACGCCTCAGGGGGAACCTTGCTGCCAAAGGCTGGAGGAGAGAAAAGGAAGAAAAGAGATAAAACAGAAGTTAGAAAAGGCGAAAATGCCAAATATGTTTTAGCAAAAAAGTACCGCTGCCATGCTTGCTCCAGGCGTAGTACAGAAGGTCCGGTACGGTGTTGGGTCCGCTGGTGGTCCACTGCCGCCCCAGGCTGGCCGGGTGCTCCGGCATGAACGCCCTCGCCCACTGGTCGCCGTACTTGTCTAGCAGCCGCTCGTGCACCTGTGAAGGGGAGGAGAGGAAACAATAAATGAAAAAAAAGGGAGAGAGAGAGAGAGAGAAAGTGGCCCACCTCTTCCTTGAGCAGGTGCCAGTTCGGCTGGGGACTGATAAAGCGAAAGCGGTTCTCCTCTCTCTCGTTCAACGCCAGAAAGTGGACCTTCCAGCTGGTGGTGCCCAGCACGGCCGTCTCGTTGAAGTACGTTTGAGTGTCGTCCCCGGCGTTTCCGGTGTCCGTCTGCCAGAGGCCCGCCGCCTGCCGCTTCGCCACCCACTGCCGATAGCGAGCCAGGCCCATCGCCCAGGAGAGGTGCAGCTTCATGGGCGTGGTCCTCTGGTGGCGCTCCACCGCCGAACAGTGGGCCGGATGGACGCAGCGGGCGGTGGCGGTGCCCGGCGCCGGCCCCGCCTCCATTGGATCGTCCTCCCAGATGTAGTTGGGGCGGCAGAAGCAGCCAAACTGGAGGCCCTGGCTTCCCTGCTGCCGTCCTCCGTTGGCCAGGTAGAAGGAGCAGGTGGTGGTGAAGCAGTTGTTTCCGCGCCGGCGGTTGGTACGGACAAAGGCCGCCTTCGCACCGTCGCAGTTGTAGATCCACACGGCGTTCTCGCCGCACTGCTGTTCTGGTCGTGGTGGGTGTGAGGGTGGTCCTTGAGTTTGAGGGCGTGGTGGGCGTGGTTGGCCAGAGTGAGAGGGAGGAGGGTGCCTTATCTGCTGCAAGTGGGTGTTCGGGGCGACTGGTTTGGGTGATGGTGGTCGGGGTGTGCGATTTCGCCTGTTCTTATGAGTCCTTGCTTCTTGCCAGGGACCTTCGTTATCATCCACCCCCTCCTGGTCAGATCGAGAAGAGATGATCAAGTGGTGGTGATAGTGATTGTTACGAGAGCGGTGGTGAGGATGGTGGCGATGCAAAGCAGTATGGTGGGAATGATGACGACGGTGCTCCTCTGCCGAGGACGTGTTGAGGATGATGATGCAGAGACAGAGGAGAAGGTAGGCAGAGAGGAGGACAGAGAGAAAGCGGAAAGGGTGGGCACAATGATTCATCGCTGGGGGAGGAGTGTTCCAGTGGAGGAAGACAGAGTAGGCCAACACTGGTGACGCTGCTTGGAAAGATGTCTTGAAAAGCAATGGAGAGCTGATAGATGGGATTGTTTCAACAAAAAGACTAGAAAATAACTGACTCACTAGCAGTGCTAATACAACACTCTAAATAGAGGGGAAGAAGAATGCTTGCTAAAAGGTTCCAAAAATTCACAGAAGTTCTAAAAGATAACAAAACTGATGACTATGCTTTAGCCTTGGCACTCCAAAAAGAAAAGTTCACATCGCACCAGCCCACATTTTGATGATGTACATTGAGCAGTACGTGCGAGTTTTGCCACGAGCTACTCACCAGCAACAGGTGTCGGTAGTGCTTGAAAGTAACTTTGCAACAAGTCCAAAATAATTTCAAATCAGTCATTTTATTTTACAAATAGCTTGTTAGATTACAAATAGTGTTCAGTGGAAGAAAAAGCAAAAAATATTTTTTTTACAAAAAATGCTTATGCTATGAAAGGAGGCAGGTAAGGCAGTTTTACTGTAGATGCTTGGCTTGAAGGTGCCGTTTGAAAGTTATTTTATATTTGAACGTTTTCGGGCAAATGGTGCATGGAAATGATCTCGAGTCAGTGTGCACACCTTGGTGTGTTTTGAGATCGCCACTTGTTTTAAATGACTTGGAACATGCTGTGCATTTGTGCGGTCGGAGGTCAGTGTGCACCAGTTGGTGTTGTTTAAGTTCTCTCTTACTTTTGAATGCTTTGGAGCATGTTGTGCATTTGTGCGCTTTGACACCAGTGTGCACCACTTGGTGTCTTTTAAGTTCTCCCTTACTTTTGAATGCTTTGGAGCATGTTGTGCATTTGTAAGGTCGAAGGTTAGTGTGCACCATTTGATGTGTTTTGAGATTACCGAGTTGGGTGTATGCCTTGGAGCATGTCGTGCATTTGTACGGTCGAAGGTCAGTGTGCACCATTTGGTGTGTTTGGAGATTCCAAAGTTGGGTGAATGATTTGGAGCACACTGTGCATTTGTACGGTCGAACGCCAGTGTGCACAACTTGGTGTCGTTTGAGATCATTTGTCTGTGTAAATGCTTTGGAGCACACTGTGCATTTGAACGGTCGATCGCCAGTGTGCACCCGGTGGTGTTTTTTGAGATTAAATAGAAAATCAAAGCTTTTGTTGCACTGTTGACACCTGTGGTTTTTAGTTTTTCTTTGACGGCGATTTGGCTGTTGTTCATCTGATGAACTGCTCGAGCTTCTATTGACCACTGCTTCAGTTTGCTGAAGTTCTGCAAAAATGAAAAGTGTTACAAGAAATAATAAATAAACCCACCCCCTGCCCACTCACCACTGACTGCTTCATAATCCTCATCATCAATTTCAGTGGCATCAGAGTCATTCTCTGATTCTTCATTCCCACTCACTTCATTGACATTTTCAGCAGTAGCAGCAAAATCTTTTTCCATAATAAAATGAAACTCCTCGTCGTACATATCAATTGACGTTTCATCCTGTTCTTCAGTTTTGATTTCCGATTCTGTTGATTTAAAAAAAGTTAATGAGTAATGTTAGTAGTATCAATTTTCCATCACTTACCATTGCCTGCTGATTGATCGCCATTTTCCAAAGCATCGTAATACGTTTCCGAATCTTCTTCTTCCTTCACCACAATTCCTTCATTCTCTTCTTCATTTTCCTCCTCTTCATCATTTTCTTCTAAACTGACTTCTTCTCTGTACACAACATCAAACTCGTCGTACGCGTCATCGTTAGTTTCAAACAGCTGCTCAGTGCCGGACATTTTCCTGTTTAAGCGGCTGAACACGCAAAAAATCAATGGAAAGAACTAAAGCAGTTAGCAGTTCAGCAGCTGAAGACAAAGTGGACAGGATAAAGGGCTCAAATCAAAACAAAACACCACTGAGCAAGCCACGTGCCGGTGCTCTCTTTCTCTCTCTCACCTGTGACTCACGCGTCTCTAGGGACCTGGTGCATTCGCCGAACCGGTCTCATGAGCCTTGAGATTTCAAATGTGTCATTTTATTTTATGAATGGCTTAATAGATTACAAATAGTGCATTCAGTGCAAACAGGAAAGCAGGAGAATGATTTTACAAAAAAAAAATGTTTATGCTATGAAAAGAGGCAGGAAAGGTTGTTTTACTGTGAATGCTTGGCTTGAAGATGTTTTTGGAGATCTTGTTTCCGTTTGAACGTTTGCTGACAAATAGTGCATAGAAATGGTCTAGAGTCACTGTGAACTTTTTGGTGTGCTTGGAGATTACTAAATGTTGTGAATGATTTGGAACATGTTGTGCATTTGTACGGTCGGACACCAGTGTGCACCCGTTGATGTATTTTGAGTTCGTTTTTACTTTTAAATGCTTTGGAGCATATTGTACATTTGTACGGTCGGAGGTCAGTGTGCACCCTTTGATGTGTTTTGAGATTACCAAGTTGTGTGAATGCTTTGGAGCATGTTGTGCATTTGTACAGTCGGAGGTCAGTGTGCACTACTTGCTGTGTTTTTAGATTCCCAAGTTGGGTGAATGATTTGGAGCATGTTGGGCATTTGTACGGTCGAAGGTTAGTGTGCACCCGTTGGTGTGTCTTGAGATTACCAATCAGTGCGAATGATTTAGAGCACACTGTGCACTTGTAAGGTCGAACGCCAGTGTGCACTCTTTGGTGAAGTTTGAGATGAGATAGACGATCAAAGCTTTTGTCGCACTGTTGACACTTGTGCTTTTTAGTTTTTCTTTGAAGGCGATTTGGCTGCCGCTCTACGGAGACATTGCTTGAGCTTCCATTGACCGCTGCTTCAGTATGCCGAGACTCTGCAGAATGAAAAAGTGTTACAAGAAATAATAAATAAACCCACCCCCTGCCCACTCACAACTGACTGCTTCATAATCCTCATCATCAATTTCAGTGGCATCAGAGTCATTCTCCGATTCTTCATTCCCACTCACTTCATTGACATTTTCAGCAGCAGCAAAATCTTTTTCCATAATAAAGTGAAACTCATCGTCGTACATATCAATTGACGTTTCATCCAGTTCTTCAGTTTTGATTTCCGATTCTGTTGATTTAAAAAAAGTTAATGAGTAAAGTTAGTAGTATCAATTTTCCATCACTTACCATTGCCTGCTGATTGATGGCCATTTTCTAAAACATCGTAATACGTTTCCGAATCTTCTTCTTCCTTCACCACTATTCCCTCATTCTCTTCTTCATCATTATTTTCACAATCAAACTCGTCGTACGCGTCATCGTCAGATTCAAACAACTGCTTGGTGCCAGACATTTTCTCCTGTGTAGGTAGCTAAACACGAAAAAAAGAATGAAAAGAACTAAAGTTAACAGTTCAGCAGCTGAAGACACAATGGACAAGATACGGTGAATAAGCAGTTTTTGTTGCCTCATCTGAGCAAGCTTACAGGGCAAAACAAACTGCCAAGACTTAGCTATCACAATACACGATAAATGCGCAGATCAGTGCGCACTGGCAAAGGCTTTGCAAATACGACTTAGCAAGCCACGTGCCTGTGGATTTCACAGTGTGGATNTGCCAGACATTTTCTCCTGTGTAGGTAGCTAAACACGAAAAAAAGAATGAAAAGAACTAAAGTTAACAGTTCAGCAGCTGAAGACACAATGGACAAGATACGGTGAATAAGCAGTTTTTGTTGCCTCATCTGAGCAAGCTTACAGGGCAAAACAAACTGCCAAGACTTAGCTATCACAATACACGATAAATGCGCAGATCAGTGCGCACTGGCAAAGGCTTTGCAAATACGACTTAGCAAGCCACGTGCCTGTGGATTTCACAGTGTGGAT